TTATTTCAGACTTTCTATAAAATTATGCAATTTACGTTATTACTACCTTACTCTCTAAACTCCTGGTTTAATAATTACCAAAAACAAGGCTCTTCCTTTCCCCTCCTCCCCAATATCCTCATCTCGAGTTTCACCCTGACTGCTCTTACCATCCATCAATAAAGGCACTTCCTAAGAGCGTTGGCCATTTACAAGTTTTAGGTGGTCACTGGAGCCATCTGCCAGCACATCCACGAGCAAAAATAATGTCTGTGGCAGATTGAGGCAAGCAGCAGTGTAACTTGTCTGTTCTAACATTAAACAAATTGCAACCTGACGCTGACTGTCCTGGGCATGTCGCTGGGGACGGAGGTCTCTAAAATTACTGGGTCTGCTGAGTTCAGTGACAGTAAAGCAACGAGGCCCCTTCCTTCACTTGTGTTTGAAATCACGTGCGGGTTTTAGAAGGTGGCCAAGAACTGCTGAGTGCATGTAAGTGCAGCCTCAAGGATCACAGCAGGGTATGATTGCCAAAAACCCAGATTTGTAGCCCAAATGTGTTTAAGCAACTTCCCTTCCTTCCCGCCTTGTCTCAGCACAGGCTAACGTGGGGAAATGCTGAGCAATTTCAGAACATCTTTGCTCTCGTGGCAGGGCCACGTACCAGGGGGTCTCTTTCGTTACAGATCATACTGGTTTGGATCATGAAAATGCTGGACCTTAAAAAAAGGTAGTGGGAAATCTGCACAGCTAGCTGGAGAATCCTTGTAACTTCACAGAAGTGTATGAATAAAGATGAAGGTGCCTTTTTAGTATTTTTAAGCCTTTTCCTCATCTCCCTGCAGCTCAATAGTTGGCAAGTTTGATGGGGTTTGGGACAGAGGAGCTCTGGTAGCTGTGAATCCATGCGACAGACAACGGTGAGTGAATTTTCTTTGTTATTGTCCTTTCTCTAATGTATGCAATGACACCTGTTTTTCCTCCTGCCCCTTGTCGATGAGTCCCCTTTCATTTAAAGGAGCAATCTACACAAGTTCCTCTCTATCACAAGCACCAGCTACGGTTGCAGAGTGCTGTACTCTAGATTTCTGCGCTTCCTTCAGGAAGCCACCCTGCCTCTTGGTGGGAAAATATGTGGTTTGTTGCAACCCAGCAGAAGCAGAGCTGCAAGTCTCATTTGAATTTTATTATTTCCTTTTCACCCCATCTGCTTCTCCTCTCTGTTCTTTTTGCCCTCACTTCTCTTTATTCCAATTTTTTGTTCTTGCCTACAGCCACCCCGAATGTAGTTTGACCCTAGTCCAGGATTTTTTTAATCAGATACGTAATCTTGAATTCACAATAATTTTAAAAGATCAGGACTGTATTGTGTAGGGTATTCTAGATTGTGGTGTATGAATACCATGTTTTGTCTGTTAGTTTCAAGATGAATATGCAAAAAAAGATAAATGCTTGTTTCATGCTCATGAAATTCAAACTAAGCTTTGCTTAGTTTCTGTGCAGTTCAAGTTGTTTCTGCACAGAAATACATTACCTCTTTTCTCAAATGTTTCAAATGCTATGCTTGAATGTCTGACAGTTCCAAAATAATGAAGTATAACTTTCTCCTTTTAGCTATGCCAGTTTGATGATCACCCTAATGGAGAAAAATTCTTCTTATCTTCTTGTTACGGTTTCATATGATCCAAACAAACACAAAGGTGAGAACTTTGCACTGCTCATATTTTGATTTTTACATGCTTTAATACAAATTATATATAGATGTGGTAGATACATTAGTATTTTTTTTATCAGCGTAGCTTTGTCAGCTGATCACACCAATACAACTGGGTGTTAGAAATGTTAGATGTTGACCAAGCTTGAGGCTAAATTTGCTTTCTCTTGACTGCTCAGACATGCTAAGGTTAAATGGAGGACAGACATGGTGTATTAACAAAGAAATGAAACTGGAAGTGGGGCTACGACAATGAAACTGGAAGAGTGAACGTTTAGAGTAACATCCTGTCTGGCCTAGGGAGCTTGAAGCAAAGCTTCACTTTGTTTATCCAATACTTGCAACCCAACACGTTGACCATCATGTGCCTCTCTCCCAGCCACTACCATGGTCTGAATAGGCTTGGAAGAGGTGAAATTCTGTAAAATCATAAAGTATTTTTGCCTTTTATATGTTTATTGCACACCGAATGCTGAGGTATTTTTAAAAAAACAAAAATTAATCATTAACTCTCAAAAGAAAGAGATTTCTTGCTGCTTTTGGGCTCTTCAGTGTAATTATCCCTGAAAAAGTAGGTCTCGTTACTATAAACAATAGTTTAATTCATTGCTCTCCCTTTCACATTATTCAGCTTTTAGCTTTAATGATGCTATTGTTGTATAAAGAGATTGTTGGCTGATTTCCAAAGTGCACTGAGAGCGGTTGCATCCGTGGCATGTTCATGACCTCTGACAATGTGGCTACCCTGACTACACCCTGGAGATGATGATGCAGCAGCAGCTGAAGCTGTCTGGTGGCCCACCAAAGTGCCACGAGTTTTTGGGAGGTGGTGTTTTCTGGTTCCTGCAGATGGTGCTACATGCTGGGGCCCGACTGCGGGCCGGGTGCTGTGGGTGATGGGGCTGGCTCTCCTGCTGCAGTGTACACCTTTGTCTCCTTCCTGTGTCTTCTCTCTGATTAGCTTTACCCGTTTTCTTTCAGGCCCACCATTTTACGTTCCTGAATCTGAAATTAAAAGTTTGTTTGGTAAGTAATATTTCAGATAACCCTTTAAAATTTTTTTTCCAAAACGCATAAATATGTTAGTATGTATCTACCTCTCCCCGTGACAAGTGATAGAGAGTCCTTTGCTCCTTATCTAAGAGGTGGAGTCATGGAAAAATAACAGGGAAAATAAATACCATTTAGCCACAGGGATTTTGCTGTCAAGGAAAATTCTCAGCTCTCAAAAGATATGAAGAAAAACCCAAGGGACAGATACTGTCTCTTTCCTCCCCTTGGCATCTTTTCCTTCTCCCAGGGTTCATGCTGCACTCGGTGATGTTGTAGCTACTGTCCTAGTCCTGTTTGACCATTTTGTCTTTCTCTGCACCTCATCACCACCTACCCTGGTTTTAATGCACGGCCTTTGCACACCAGTTCTGTGGCTTCTGCTATACTTCTGTAGCCAAGGAAGGAAAGTAACATGCCATGTGAAGAAAATGCTAAATGTACAACTCAAATTCATCAAAAATAATGGAATTTGGAATTATGGTGGGAATTTAATTTTAACAGTTCCCTCTGATAGGCTTTAATATTGCACTTCTTTTAAATCTACAACTGTCTGAGACCCCTGCAGTGCCTGTGTGCAGCGAGTCATTGGCACGGACAGTTACATCCCAGTGCAAAAGGGACAGGTAAGTTTTCCCCCAGTGCGTTGGTGTGAGTGCATTAGGGACTGTGAGGATATCTGAGGATAAGGCTTTTTTTTTTTTTCATGACAGTTTGCGTTTTTCAGTGACTTACCATTCAGTAATTTATTACTCTTTCCTCCTTTTTCTTTCCTCCTTTTCAGGCAACCACTGTGAAATTAAGTGTCTTCAAAAACTTGATGATTTCTCAGACAGACACAGGCAATGGGGACTTGATTACTTTCTGGAGGTGCTATATATACTGAAGTTTGTAGCTTGATTAAAATTAATTAAAATAATTCACCTCCCATCTTGCTTTTATTCTTATCTCTTATCTTATTCAATTTTGAAATGAAACATGTTTTGGGGCACTCTTAAAACGGGGCTTCAGTGTATAGACAAATGCCTGTGGAACATTTTTCTCCATTTTCCTTACCACGTCAGCTCTCCTCCGTAACTGCCTTCAGTCTGGAGATGTGCATGGCTTTTCTCAAACTCTGTGGTCAAACAGTAAGTTTTTAAAATATATCTTTTTCTTCTGTATCAATTCAAATAATCAAAGCTAGAAAAAAAGAAATGCAGTTCTTTTTGGGCCATTGCTGGTGGATGCTGTCTGCCTGGTGCTCTGCAGGCCGGCCTGGGCAGCTGGCAGCCCCGGGAGCAAGAGCAGCTGCTCTTCAAATCGCGTTTCCCGTGGGGCTGGCCTTGCACCAGCCCGGGCAGCTGGGCCAGAGAGGCGGGAAGCTGGCACGAGTTGCTCCTCTCTGTCCCCATTTAGTCGTGATTACGAGTTGAGAGACGAGCTGGCAGTGAGTGGCAAGAACGCTTGGTAGCAGCCACCAAGGGGGAACCATCATCAAGGAGGAAAGAGAGGAGGGAAGTGAACCAGGTGACAATAAGAGTACAGGGAGAAAATGTCCCTCTGGACATTCCCTCCAGCAAGAGCACAGCTATGAGCAGCAAACCAGCACCAGGCTTGTAGGGTGGGAGGGTTCAGAGAAAGCCTGTGGAGTTGCTGTGTGTTCATCTCAACACCAGCCTTCTTTTGTGGGTCTTCTGTCACTCCAGTATGGATACCAGAGGAAGGGCATGAAGATGATAAGAGGGCTGGAGCACCTCTTCTGTGAGGACAGGCTGAGAGAGTTGGGGTTGTTCAGCCTGGAGAGGAGAAGGCTCCAGGGAGACCTTACAGCAGCCTTTCAGCACCTGAAGGGGGCTACAGGAGAGGTGGAGAGGGACTCTTTATCAGGGAGTGGAGCCATAGGATGAGGGGTAATGGTTTTAAACTGAAAGAGGGGAGATTTAGATTAGATATCAGGAGGAAATTCTGTACTGTGAGGGTGGTGAGGCTCTGGAACCCCATCCTGGAGGTGTTCAAGGCCAGGCTGGATGGGGCTTTGAGCAACCTGGTCTGGTGGGAGGTGTCCCCGCCCATGGCAGGGGGCTGGAACTTGATGATCTTTAAGGTCCTTTCCAACCCGAACCACTCTATGATACTAATGCATTTTTTTTCTTTTAAATTACAAAATTTGGGGCTCTCAAACCCCATTCGTGCCCTTGGCCTGCTCCCCTTGGCGGCTTATTTTTAACAGACGCCGGAAGAGGTGGGATCGTAGCGCGTTACAAGCCAGCAAGGCCCGAGGGGCTGTTCAGAGCGCTGCGGGGCTGGAGCTACCGCCGCCCTCCCCAGCCGCTATTTTCGGCCCCGGTGACTCCCGTACCGAAGCGGGGGGGGCGGTGCTGGCGGCCGCTCCGCCTCCCCTCACAGCGGCGGGGATGGCGGCGGCGGCGGCGGAGGAGGAGGGCGCGGACGAGGCGGAGCTGGGCCTGCTGGAGTGCCGGGTGTGCTTCGAGCGGTACGGCCCCAGCGGGCAGCGCCGGCCGCGGAACCTGCCCTGCGGCCACGTCCTCTGCCGGGGCTGCCTGGAGGCCTTGGGAGGGCCCGAGGGCCGCCGGCTGGAGTGTCCCTTCTGCCGCCGGGCCTGCGGCCGGGCCGAGACCAGCGACTGCCTGCCGCTGCTGCAGCTGCTGGAGCTGCTGGGCCCCGCCGGCCGCAGTCTCCCCTCCGCCTTGGGGAGGAGCAGAGGGGCGGCCGGGCCGGCCCCCGCCGGCCTGGGGCTCCGGTTGTCCCTTGGGGGCTGGGGGTCGTTGGTCAACCCCAGCGGGGTGGCGGCCTGCCGGAGGTCGGGGCGCCTGGCGGTGGCACACGATGGGAAGAAGAGGATCCACGTCTTTGGGCCGAGCGGATCCTGCCTGCGGCGGTTCGGGGAGCGGGGGGACGCGGGCAACGATATCAAGTACCCGCTTGACGTGACCGTCACCTGGGACGGGCATGTGGTGGTCACCGATGGCGGGGACCGCTCCGTGAAGGCCTTTGATTTTGAGGGAAGGGGGGTCCTGGCCGTCCGGGAAGGTTTCTGTTTGCCATGGGGCTTGGATTCCACCCCCGAGAGTGAAGTTATCCTCACCGACGCGGAGGCGGGAGCTCTCTACCGCTTAACGGCCGACTTCCAGAAGGGGGAATTAAAGAAGTGTCGGATGATCCGGTCTCAGCTCGTCAGCCCGAGAGGGGTTGCAGTCTCCCAGACCTCGGGTGCCATCGCGGTCATCGAGCACCTGAAAGCTCAAGGACCCAACAAGGGCAGAACCCGAGTGAAGATATTCAGTGCGGAGATGGATCTCATCGGCCAGACGGATAGCTTCGGCCTCAACCTCGTTTTCCCCTCCAAAATATATACTACAGCTGTGGCCTTTGACAAAGATGGTCGGGTTATAGTCACGGATGTCTGTAACCAGGCCGTAATATCCTTAGGAAAACCTGAGGAGTTTCCCATCTTTAACCCTCTAATTAGCCACGGGCTTTCCTATCCCGTGGGACTGACTTACATGGCAAACAATTTCCTCGCCGTCTTAGACAGCGGTGATCATTCAGTAAAAATATACAGCTCCACCTGAGTGTGTTTAGATGCTTACGGCTGTAGGTTCAAGCTGCTTTTCACCACAAAGCACGCGAAGCCCTGGTGTCTGCGGGCGTGCAGGGAGGAGGCATTTTCTGGGCTTCACTTGAAGTGAAATTGCCCTCTTTGACCAACACGCTGCGCGTCTGCAGAGGTTACCTCCAATCTCTTGCCTCTCCGCAGGAGAAGCCCTGGCTGTGGCAGGCTGTAGTCAGCCATAAATCAACCAAACAAATAATTTGGCATTTTAAAACCACTCCATACCTTGTCAGCCACGTGGTCTTGGTAATTTTTGACCATGTAATAACGAGATTTGGAATGGAGTAATGAAAGACTGGTACTAGGGAGAGAAAGTGATGCCTTGTTTGTTTACCTTTCCCAGCACGCAGTTTCCATTATTCTTTGTTAAGCAGAGCTGCACACTAATTAGAGTGACAAGAGTGGATTGTTTCCAGGATTTCTGCATGACAACGGAGACTTGCTTGATGAAATGATAAGAAAAATGGAAGCTCTGGCTCAAGGTGGTCTGAATCCAGCTAAGATCATTGCGATGGAGAACCTGCCACTGATTAGTGAGTTAGGTCAGTTGGCGCTCAAAGCGTATTTTTTCCTTAGGAAAACCTGAGGAGTTTCCCATCTTTAACCCTCTAATTAGCCACGGGCTTTCCTATCCCGTGGGACTGACTTACATGGCAAACAATTTCCTCGCCGTCTTAGACAGCGGTGATCATTCAGTAAAAATATACAGCTCCACCTGAGTGTGTTTAGATGCTTACGGCTGTAGGTTCAAGCTGCTTTTCACCACAAAGCACGCGAAGCCCTGGTGTCTGCGGGCGTGCAGGGAGGAGGCATTTTCTGGGCTTCACTTGAAGTGAAATTGCCCTCTTTGACCAACACGCTGCGCGTCTGCAGAGGTTACCTCCAATCTCTTGCCTCTCCGCAGGAGAAGCCCTGGCTGTGGCAGGCTGTAGTCAGCCATAAATCAACCAAACAAATAATTTGGCATTTTAAAACCACTCCATACCTTGTCAGCCACGTGGTCTTGGTAATTTTTGACCATGTAATAACGAGATTTGGAATGGAGTAATGAAAGACTGGTACCAGGGAGAGAAAGTGATGCCTTGTTTGTTTACCTTTCCCAGCGCGAAGTCTCTATTATTCTTCGTTAAGCAGAGCTGCACCCTAATTAGAGTGACAAGAGTGGTTTGTTTCCAGGATTTCTGCATGAGAAAGGAGACTTGCTTGATGAAATGATAGGAAAAATGGAAGCTTTGGCTCAAGGTGGTCTGAATCCAGCTAAGATCACTGCGACGGAGGAGCTGCCACTGATTAGTGAGTTACGTCAATTGGCGCTCAAAGCCCGTTAAGCAGAGCTGCACCCTAATTAGAGTGACAAGAGTGGTTTGTTTCCAGGATTTCTGCATGAGAAAGGAGACTTGCTTGATGAAATGATAAGAAAAATGGAAGCTTTGGCTCAAGGTGGTCTGAATCCAGCTAAGATCACTGCGACGGAGGAGCTGCCACTGATTAGTGAGTTACGTCAATTGGCGCTCAAAGCCTACGTTTTCCATGCCAGGGAAATGTTAATTCTGGGCGCGCTCTTTGCCATGCTAGTTTATTTCCACCTTTATTAGGGTTGTCCTGGTCTTCCTGTACAATGCATTGAGCCTGTCTCTTCATCTAGAGGTGATCTGGTGTGTGGTTACCAGCGTGGGCAGCTTTCCCTAACAGCCCCATGGAGTGTTCGTATGCAGACCACCAATAATTCTGCTTATATCAAATTAAAATTGAGTTGGCTGTGCTGCTAACACAGCTACGCTTGGGAGCTTTCCAATGCTACCTGCCCTGGGACAGGAGGATGGAAGCCTCCTCTTTCTCCTAGCCTCCAAATTTTGTTGAATTTTTTGGTGAGGTTTTGTTGATTGTGAATAACGCAGCAGGTTTACTCCAGTTTATGTTTCCTTCAAAGTAGTTTCACTGTTGGACGCGAGTTCTGGTGCCTTATTGCACAGTGGAAATTAAGATATATCTGAATAATTTTGAGAAGGATTTAGCACCTGCAGTAGAAGTCACAGCTGCATTTTTAGGCATTTACCTGCTCCTAAAATGATTATTTCGGTGGTTCAGCATTAAAAGGAAGTGAGATATAAATGTAAATGTTGCCTGAGGTAGGTTAAACAAGTAAGTTAAAATGGCCTAAAACTTTTGGTGTAATTTCTTTTATTTAGTCACTGAAATAATGACTATTAACTAACAATTTGAAATTCACAGGCAATCTTTCTATCAGTTAATTTTTAATCTGGCTTTTGGTCTGACTTCAGGGCATTTAATAACTGCATGTATTGCTGCACCGGTGATTTACCACATACTTACTGTAAATTGGAGCGGTTTAGCCCTCTAATTCAGACAATGTATTAATCTGTCTTATGTTAACATTTCCATAAACAGAACAAATTATTAAATGCAGCTATTTGTAAAGGTTAATTGAACAGTGACCTGCCAATAAAGTGTGATTTGCTTACTCCTATATCGAATAATTTAGTGAAAACTCCTCATATCTTTTAATCACGGGCTTCTCTGTTGTGATCCAATTTCTCCATTGTGGTTGCCGTGTAGATGGTTTCCTTTTTTATTTGGAGATATCCTGCTAAAGTTGTCATACAGTCTTTTTTTAATTTTTTGCTCTTGAAAACTATACAGACTTGCACATTTGGTCTTTTCCAGCCTTCTCTACTGCCAGGCCACCCAGTAAGGGCCTTTGGTGGAACCAGAAACACTCCTTGGCTATGAGGGCTTTGAGCAGGAGCCCTCTGGAGGGGTCAGGAAGGAAATTTACTCAGAGAAGCAGCCTCCTGGATTATATATTCCTTTCTAGATGCCAAGGAGACATCGGCCTTTGAGGGATATACAAACAATTAGGTAAGACTTCCTCTGGGGAACCCTTGTGTTTCCAAATGCATGCAATACCAGGGATGGTGTATTCATGCATAATTAATAGTTTATCACAATAGCACGTGTGGGACCTGGCCCCTTCCTCTGAACCATGGGCTGAGATTTCATCACCTCAAACCTTCGTGTGCACCACGAAATTTCCTAGCCCCTGCTGCCATGTAGAGAACTTTCCAGCAGCTGAAATGCTGATTTTAAAATATTCGACTCATGCTATTTTAAAAGCCACAAAAACTTCCATTGTTGCCCATTCTGCCCCCTTCTCCTTTGTTATATGACTAGAAATCACTTGATGTTTGTGTCTGTAAACAAAATGAATTTTGTGCCTTTATTTTACCTCGTTTGCCCTGTGCCACCTGCTGCCTGGCTCTGCTTTACCTACCTACTGAAAGCTAAGGTGGACTTTTTCTGTGAACAAAGCAGCTCTTTGCCTTCTGCTGTAAAGCTTGGTGCTTAGTGTTGTACAGCACTGCATCAAAGAAACCACTGCATTCTGTCTTAATTAATTTGATGCAGGTGCCTAAATAGAGAAGTCATAAAGAATTGTATAAAGCCACTAAAAATTCTGAGTTCTTCAGCGTGTAAGGGAAAATCCAGCAGTAAACCAGAGATCTTTCTTCTGCCACACAAGAGAATTTAAGATAGGGTGGGAGACAGAGATCCACCTACATGCTGATAACAAAATAAAAAGCCTTTGACGTTTTTACTTACTCTTGCCTCTCCCTTCATGCATATATGCAGATTTCCCCTATAGCTGCTGTAGATACCCGCTGCCTTCGGGGTGATACCTTCAGGCCCAGGGGACGCCTGCTGCTCCTGTCCATCTGTGAGTCTGTTGCAGTTTAGTCACAGATTTCAACCAGACCAGGAACCTGGGTTCGGAGAGCGGGATGGCAAAGGGTAAGGGGCACCTGGCACTAGGTAGGTGATGCTTTTGGGATCTGACTGGATGTGCTTGAAAAGGGGATAGCTAGATGTGTGCCTGCTCCTGGAAAAGAGCGGTGGCCATTTCATCTAGAACATCACGTGCAGCTGTGTCTAGTCACTTCAGTTACCTCAACTAGACTTTGCATAATCTGCACCTCGTGCTTTAACAATTTGGATTAAAACCAAACAAATATAACAGACAGTATTCCCTAATGTCATCTCCTCAGCCCCTACAGTAGATTGGTGTGTCTGTTGTACACACATACACACTGCGATTCCTATTTGGTTTATTTTTAAGCACTGATCTCAGGTGGCTGTTGTATATAAATATACCAGGGTAGGTTTGCAGTGTTGAAGAATAAGGGAGGCAAAAGTGTGTATCAAAATTGTGTCCTGTAACATCCATATTTTTTATTTTGCTTGTGAACAAAGTAATTTTTTTTTACTTAAAGTATATAATTAATGTTTCATATTGGTGAATAAAAGGAAGAAATACAAAGGGGAAAAAAGGTAAAATTCACTTAATTTTGGCCATTGTCTGTTTGACCATCTGTCCATTCCCTCCAGCCACGTTGCTGTGCGCATCAGTTTGATGTTTATATTTTTACAAAGCATGGTGGCAACACCACCATAGCATGTTTTTTAACATGGACTGATTTCAGGTGAAGAGGAGACCTCCTGTAACAGCCAGCCCTCAAACGCCTAAGAGTTTTACAGAGCAGTGTCCATCAGAATGTTGGCCTTGAATACGGGAGATGTTTTCTTTCTGGAAAGGTTGACAGAGGTGAAAAAAAGCAGCTTTCTCCCCTGGGGCCATGGGTTATGGTGCTGTTGCACCCTCCACAGGAGGAATTTGCCTTCATTTCTTTCTCTTCAATGCTTGGTTGGTTTTTTTTTCCTGACTCTTCTCAGAGGTCCATTGTTACAATTTACAAGTCACCTGTGAGTCACAGCTTGCCTCCACAGGGGTGTAATATAAATAACTAAGCAAAAACATACAGATTTTGCAAAATCTAAACCTCACACTCCATTCAGACATCTCAGAAGAAGTGAAATATCATTTAGAAAACGGCACATGCCTGAGGTCTAGCCCCTGTGGAGACAATTTAAATGTACTGATCATAGAATCATTTAGGTTGGAAAAGACCTTTACGATCAATGAGTCCAACACTGCTCAGTCCACCACTTAACTGTGTTCCTAACCATCATTTTCTCCCCTCATGACCTTCAGTTCCCCTATAAGTACACCAGAAGCCTCTACGTGGAATCCACTGTCCTACTTTAGAAAAGTATGGTGGGAAAGGACTCGTGAAGATGTCCTTCTGTAATCTTCCTGTCAGGTCTACCGTGCAATTTCTTGACCAGCCCTGTCCAGCCCCAGCCCTGGCGACTGCTGTTTGAGTAGCAGCCTCTCTTGGTTTGGCCAGCTGTCTCCAAAAGTGCTTCCATCTGAACAGAGGATCTTCCAGGTGGGATGTATAGCCCTCAGCAATAGGGGGGCTTTCTCCTGACCTTGCCCGCTTGTTTTGACTTGATGTGAAGGCTGCAGAGCCAGCACAAAGGCAGGAACAAGGTTCTGGAAACAAAGTAGAGATTGCCATCTGAAACGGGTATGTGCAGAGTTTGAAATTGCTGGAAGAGTTCATAATTTGTCATGTCCCACATGCAGTCCCTGGCTGTAAAGAGGAACGGGGCAGGCAGACCTCAAATAAGGTATTGGTCCTCCTCTCCGTGCAGTGCCCAGCCATGGCCAGGCAGAAGGTTGGCTCAGCCCCACTGGAGGTGAGCTGGGAACAGACACACACTGTCTGCTTGATTCCTCTTCAGCAAACCCTTTATGCTGCTGACTGCAATGGGGAATTATTAACTGCATATAAAAATCCCAGAGGTACAGAACGTGTAAATCTTCAAACTTGAAATACATTAAACCAAAGACCCACCCAGCATTTTTCCCTTTGCCAGGCGCTGCTGTGGCTCATACATCAGTCCACAGGGGGAGGAAAACTTAGCAGTTCTGTGTTTCTCCATCAAAGCGGGCATTGGCCACGCCTCCAGTCCACATTACAATTTCGACTTCATTATCTCAACTAAATGTGCTAATAATAATATGTTTATATTTGATATTGTTACATGAACATACAGGCTTTCTCTGGAGCGTTTCCTTAGCATAACCTGTCTGATTCTCCCAGGCAGCTTCAGAGCTATCTAGTACCAGAGAGGTTGTGCTTATGCCTTTTTCTCAGCACTGCTTTCCAAGAGATTTACAGATATTTTTTGAACTTGGCGCTCCAGCCTCTCTGTGAGGCAAACACAATACAAATGTCCTGGCCCTGCAGCTGCAGATGGGAGAGCTGACGATCGAGGGAAGCCTTTGGCAAGCCTGAGACTAAATCTCAGACTTCCCATTAGAAGGTCGGTGCCCTAATAAAGCAGGGAGAGTCTGTGATTAATTATCCTCTTGTCTGGGAGTTGCCTTCCTGATTTTGGAAGAAGTTTTGACATTTTACTGATGATCTTCTCATTACTAATTCCTTTGCTGTGCCCTACAAATGATGGAAATGAATACTTTTCTAAACCACAATGTATTCCCAGATAATAGCCTCCAGCGTGCTCCACAAAGGTGCATGGTTTCAGAGTTGTGAAGTGCTCTGTGAGGAGGTGTCCTGCTGTGAAGCCCCACTGAGTGATCAGGTCACTTATTGCATGTTGAGGATAGAAAGGAGGAGAAGAGATCCACTCTGAAAAGGAGAAAAAATTAATGAAAGGTGTCTGTGGCTTAAGCAGAGGGGGAACTCCACCAAGTCAGAGCACAGGAGCACACCCATGGTTCCAGTAAAGGGAATGCATTCTTAAGAGGTGAAATATTTCAGCCTGGAAAATGGACAAGACCCGATAAGGGCCGTTGCCTCTTGATGAAGTATTGACCTCTGGCAGGGGAATAACCTACATTTGAACAGATTTCCCAGCCACAATTAGGCACTTTTCAGATGGTAATCCTTAGGAGAGCTATCTATTACTCTGTATTTGGAGCAAAAATCTGTGGGAAATGAAGATTTGGAGCAAACTAAGCATTTTTAGGGAAGTATGCTCCCTATAATTGAATAAATACATGTATAGAATACTCTAAAGATCCCTCTTAATGTAGGCAAATTTGGTTCCTTGGTCACAGGTGAGCACTGTATGGGCAGTGAGTTGAGGTGAGAACAAATTCTGCTTTTATGGAATATATTTGTTTTTATCAGGAAAATACTGCTATTCAGAAGATTCTGTAAACCATTTAAAATGCTCTAGATATAGTTATATGCTTTGTGATGAATAAAAGGTAGGCAATTTTAAGCAGGATATCGCATTAGGAGAGATAAAAATGTAGCCAGGAAGATGAAAGAATTCATTTTGAGAAAACCCTGAAGATTAAAAAAAAAAAAAGAAAAAAAAATAAAAGAGAAAACCAACAAGAAAAAGAAAGATGTCCTTTATCAAAGCTTGCCTTGAAAAGTTCTAATACAAAGAAGATGGTTTTGTGTTGGGGTTTAACGCCAGCCAGTAATTAAGCACCACGCAGCCGCTCGCTCCTTTCTGTGTATGAGCACTGCTCAGCTCAGCAAACATCCCTGTGTTATCAACACTGTTTTCAGCACAAATGCAAAACATGGTACTAGCTACTATGAAGAAAATTAACTTTATGCCAGACAAAACCAGCACATCTCGAAAGAAGTATCACACCTACATAATCAAAGGAGGTAACTCATTTCCTGGTTTTTGTTCCAAATATAAATAGATAGAAGATAAAACCCATATGAAAGTATTAATGCTGGCCTAGCATGATTTCCTGAATAGTACGGACTATGGAATTTAACCAGTATTAACCACTGTTTAGTTACTAACCTGTATTGAAAGCAAGAAACAAAGAACTATTATGTCTTTTACGATCACAGACTAAGGAGCTAACGTGAAAAGAAATACAATGTCATTAATGTCATTAAAGATGTGCTTTGTAAGAAATCTATCAAAAAGAGATTAAGTATTAAAAGTTTATAGTAATCTTCATATGAAAAGGATGTGCCTGGCTCCCTTATTGTCCTTAATTACGTAGGAAATAGGGCCCTTCAGTGAGTTCTGCACCAGCTTCCCTTCAACTTGCAGCATGATATTATGGAGCCAGAAATACTTCAAATACGTGTATTAGTCTTTTTTTTTTTTTTTTTAATCCTTGTTATTCCTTAAAGTGACTTGTTTGAGTTGAGACTTGCTCTGTCATAAATAGTTTATCTGTGCAGTCATGAGTACTGCAGATGGAATTGTCCACATAAATAAAGGCTGCAGGACTGGGCTTGAAGTCAGGTGGATCCAGGCGAGTGCCGAGGGCTGCCCTGGAGAAGCCTTTGCAGCAGACTTTATGATGACAATTTCTGGGAGTGCTGCTTTGGGGGGGTTTTTGTGTGCTGAAAAGCCCTGCCCTTGTTTCGAATATATTGTAAGGAATTACGACTTTCTTTCAACATCAGAAATCTCTTGTGAAACAAATCTAGTGCAATGGTTTAGCTTTTCTTATTTATTTGTTTGGAACATACTGAACTCTTGCCTGGCTCCTGAGTTGGTCAGACTCAGTGGGTTGGTACCACACCTCCTTTTTGGGACGTGTGGTTGCTCAGTGACCAGCAATCTGGGGCAAGACTCGCTCCGGACTGTGGAGACCTTATACCTCAATGGCTCTTGCAGAGCCTGAAGAGGAGGTTACTGGTCTTGGCCAGCACTTTAGGAAAGTTACGATGTTTTCATGGTGGTAGAAACTCATTTGTAAGTTCTAGGTCCCAAAAGACTAAGCAAACGGATGTCTAAGGTTGGAGGGTAGTTGGGGACTTTTTGTTTCATTTCAGATGGAGGAATGCAGCTTTAAAGACCAGGTGGAAAGTGCACCGTTATTTCCCAAGTGTGGTAAAGTGAAATTGAAGTTGCTCCAGGCCCAGGATCAGAGATGCAGGTCAATTTATCATTTATTTTGTGATGTTCATAAAGCTGTTCAGCATTTGAATAGTGTTATCATTAAATTGCAGCTGATATTATTCTTCTCATTTTTCTACCATGTCAGTGTTACAGAGAAAAAAGCCAAAACCACCCACTTAGAAAAATTGTACCTTGAAGGTAGAAGAAAATCTTCTCCTCCTTGCATCTCTTTCACCCGAGAAATAAAACCCATGCAACTGAATTATTTTCAGGCATCTGTATCAAGCTTTCACCCTCTTGCTTGTGTTGGATTTGAATCTCTTAAGTCTTTTTTCCTGACAGTAAGCCCAAGTTTTTGATTTCTGAAATTCAACCATGTTGTTCCAATTTGTGCCTTTTGCACAGCCCTCACCCATTCTTCCCAGTTGGTTGCAGTCCCTTGAAGTGTCTTCCAGAGCTGTATTTCTCATTAGCCATTGTTTAGTGTAACTGTGTGGTGTGTGTGTGTGTGTGTGTGTTCACTCCACTTTCATTTCAGAAGGATTCATTCCCCCAGAGGTTCTATCCGTGTTTTGGTTTTGCCGGGTTTCTTTTCTAAAACAGCCTTTCATCTTTAATGCCAGACTGAAGGGAGGAAACCTCAGATCCCAACATGAATGGTGGGAAAGGACTTCAGTCATTCAGGGGACACGTTTGGGAGACAGGCGGGCAGGCTTCCTTAGGGGAGAGGAAAGGGTGAAGGACTGTGCAACTGAAACTGTGTGGGGACTAACAGTTCTAGGAACCCTTCTTGTGGGTGACCCCTATAACTGGTCTGAGTTTCCCTGACCAAGGCTGGTGTAGACAAACTGCAAGAAGCCTGGAAGATTGCATAAGGCGTCTGTTCCCCTCATTTTTATACCTGTAAAAAGCAAGCCTTTTGCCATGAATCAAAGAGGATGAAATTTGAAGTGATGTGACAACAAAGGACGGCCGGTGCTTGTACTATTTTACAGTCTTCAATCTAAAAATTAGAGTATGATCTGTTGCTGATAATTTTGTTGTTGTTGTTGTTGATTATGAGATGATTATATTTAGTATGTTTTCTTCAGGCTGGGAGGGGCAGTGATTGGGTGCTTTGTTTTTGAAATAAAAGATCCCAAGTCTTGTTACGTGCTTTAATTAGCACCTTCAGCACTTGTTTCCACCTTACACAGGAACTGATGAAACCTGTTGAACTTAATGTCAATCTTCTTGTTGACTTCAATAGACAGCAGAACAGATCCAAGACCTGTGCTGAGCTGGCTTCCATACGTTTTAACAAACACAATTCTACCGCCTCTCTCAAGGCTTTCACAGAATCACAGAATGATACGGGGTTGGAAGGAACCTCTGGAGATCATCTAGTCCAACCCCCCTGCCAAAGCAGGTCCTCCTAGAGCAGGTTGCACAGGAACGTGTCCAGGTGGGTTTTGAATGTCTCCAGAAATGGAGACTCCACCACCTCCCTGGGCAGCCTGTTCCAGGGCTCTGCCACCCTCAAAGTGAAGAAGTTCCTCCTCATGTTTAGGTGGAACTTCTTATGTTCAGGTTTGTGCCCATTTCCTCTTGTCCTGTCACTGGGCACCACTGAAAAAAGGCCAGCCCAATCCTCTTGACACCCACCCTTTAAGTATTTATAGGCATTGATCAGATCCCCCCTCAGCCTTCTCTTCTCCAGACTAAAAAGACCCAAGTCCCTCAGTCTTTCCTTGTAAGAGAAATGCTCCTAATCATCTTTGCAGCCCTCTGCTGTACACTCTCCAGCAGTTGCCTGTCCTTCTTCAACTGGGGAGCCCAGAACCGGACTGACTTTGCCTCACTCAGCTTCCTCACCTGCTGATCTCTCAATTCTCACTGTTCTCCTTTCTAATCTTTTTCAAGCAGTAGCTTCTTCTCTTCTCCACGCTTTAGAAAGACCTTTGGCCACAGCACGTATTTGCAGGCATCACTAATTGCGTAAGGAGAAAATTTGGCTTGGCCAGCATAGTTACTAGCTCGGCTTACTCAGTAAGCAAGCTTGGTGGATGCACTCCTCCCTCCCCACCCTCCTCCTCCTCCTCCTCCCAGCTTCCAAGTCTCACGGGGGGTAGCCAGCAAAGCTCAGCTTCTCTTGGAAAGCAGAAAGTAAACCAAGCTGGAGTGACACTCACATACCAGACATTCCTTACCAGAGAGAAGAAGAGGGGTGAGAGATTTCCGGGGTCGGGGGAATAATGGAAGGGCTGTCCTTCCCTTCAGTTTGCTGGGGCCTGCCTACTCATTTACATTGTAAATAACGTTACAAACCAGCTGTGACAGTTCGCTCTTTCTTAGGAGAAGCATCTGATTTCTACTAATATATAGTAGAAAAGAGGGGGGGGAAAGGAAAAATTATAAATCTCTACTAATTTAACATCAATCCCTTTTCATAACTTAATAATTATAATAACTACAGAGAGCTGATGTCAGTTCCTTTGGGACCCCGGCGATCTTACTTTTTTAACAGTACAAAACTTTCCTTTTCTTTCCCATTCCACTACCATAAACTATTATCATCACCATGATGTTTAAAGACTGTGTAGCAGCAGGTGTCTAGTAGGGTCAGCAGGACAGTGTCTCTGCTATCATGGCATCTCATAAAATCAAACTCACTCTTAAAAATAGGTTTAGTCCTCTTGGTCTTTGGTCTAAGAGGCCATTCATTCCTCTGGGACTGGAAGTCAACTCATTGCCAGCCTGAGTGTGTTCCAAGACAGAATCACAGAATGGCAGAAGGGCTGAGGTTGGCAGTGACATCTGGAGGTCACCTGGTCCACCACCCCTGCTCAAGCAGGGCCACCTAGAGCCAGTTGTGCAGGACCATGTCCAGACTGCTTTTGAGCATCTACAAGGATGAAGACTCCACCACCTCCCTGGGCAACCTGTCAGCACTTGGTCATGCTCAACAGTGAAGAGAGTTTCCTGATGTTCAGAAGGAACCTCCAGTGTTTCAGTTTGTGTCTGTTGTCTCTGGTCCTGTCACTGGGCACCACTGAAAAGAGCCTGGCTCTGTCTTCTTACACCTTCCCTTCAGGTATTTATACATACTGATGAGATCTCCCCACTCCTGAGCCTCCTCTTCTCCAGGCTGAACAGCCCCAGCTCTCTCAGTCTTTCCTCATAGTAGAGAACTTCCAGTCCCTTAGTGACCTTCGTGGCCCTCCACTGGTCTCAACCCAGTAAATCCATGTTTTATTCTCCTGGGGATCCCAGAACCGGACACAGTACTCCAGATGTGGCCTGATCAGTGCTAATTAGAGAGGAAGGCTCGCCTCCCTTGATCTGCTGGCAGCTCTCCTCCTAACGAAGCCCAGAATAAAAAGGCTGCATGAAAGGCAGTTTACACCCATTTGTTCTCGTGCTGGTGTTTTCCTTGAACTTGAGTAGTGCTGTGCTTTTAACTGGCCTGAAAGGAAGCATAAACAGCCATATCCCCTCTCAGTCTTCATTTTGCTAGACTAAACAAACTGAGCTTTTCCAGTCTGCTCTTGTTTGGTAATATTCACCACTCCCCAGTCCTCCCAGTAACCCTTTTGTGGGTCTGTTCCAGTTTGAACTACTCTTCCCTAAATGCTGTACTGAGTTTTCCAGGCGGAGTCTCTGCTGTGCTTCTACAATGGCATCTGTAGCTCCTCTCTCACTGTTGGAAATATCTCCAGTGGTAACAGCCCCAACTACATACGCTTTTGTCACGATACCACTTGGCTGTGAATCCACAGCCCTGCTCTTCCCAGTATAAACAACTTTAGGAAGGTATTTGAGTCAGGGGTGGAGTGTTTCCGGAGGTGAAAAAGGGATAACACCCAGATAATTAACATCAATAGCAATAAAAATGTAAATAAACCCATCAGTTTATAATTTCTTTCCCTGCCAGCTAAAGAATGTGAGCTACACAGCACGTGACCAGCTGTCAGAGGACAGAACTGTTGTCCCTAAATAAGGCTTCTTCACCCAGTGTGTGAAAAAACAATCAACATGTTGAGTCAAGATACTTGTCTTAATTCTGATTCTGCAGAATTGGGTGCCGGGCATTTAACAACAGCCAGCACACCACCCGTTTCTGAGAGACCAGTATTTACAGTGACAAGAAACAGCTGACTGGAGAGTTACAGTTCTTTTACCATCCCTCATCACACATATGCATTCAAGTTAATGTTTTAAACATTTTGGGAAGATCCTCTTAACTAGTTTGCTCATTATTTACAAGGGGGTATGCATTTTAGTGTTCTAATCTCCCAGGGCTCCTCTTGGACACACTAAGACTCCGTTCCAAAGCCTGTATGTCTTCTCATCCCATACTTAGACCAGGGACCGGGAGCGCGCTCCCTCCGTGGGCCTTGCTCCCCCTCCATGAGCTCTCAATATGGGAATCCTGCAACAAGTCCATCTCTTTGATCTACGTTTCGGTCAATTGTTTCTACATCTAGTCCAGGTGGATGTGCAAGAACACAATTAAGCTCAGGTGTTTCTACACCTCATCCAGGTGCAAAAGGCCCAATTAAGATTTAATTGCAGGAGTTCAGCTAAAGTTCGATCAATTTCTATTACAATTCTATACAAAGCGCTTATGTAACTTTTAAACCATATTCTTTTGACACCAGAACTATTGCCCGTATCTGGGGTTAGACTCACAGGGATATTCGATTCCCTGCCAGAAACCAAATCCCACCTGGGATGATGGAAAGATTGGCTTTGGATTCAGTAAAAACTTCAGTCAGACTTCCAGAGCATAGGGAAATGTATCTGGGCAATATAAAGAATTATTCTTGCTACTTTTTTCCCCTTCTTTGCGTCCCATCAGTTTCCTGGCTATAGCTGCATTAATCTGCTTCTAAGCTCATTTATTTCCATTAATATGAATTTTTATCGGCAGGTAGCAATGACCATTACAGTTCTCACAATGATTTGAGACTCTTTCTTCCTGCTAAGTGATGGGGAATGGGGAACAGAGCTGCCTGTCCCTGTTCTTCAGTGAGCGGAGCAAAGGGAGGATCCTCTGCAGAATGGCCATGGAGTTAAACGGAGCTAAAACTGAGCAGCTCCTCTCACAGATGTGTACTTGTATCCACTGGGCTGAATATTTGGCTGAAGTTTCTAAAAGACTATTGCAACATTGCATCAGAGGCAGGGAGAGAACGTCCAATCTGATCACTGAAATTGCATTTGATATTTTTCTCCCCGCTCCACAGCAAGGAACGTTTCAGCTTGATGGAGATGTGTCCATGCCTGCCTTGGGGACACTGGCTGTAATTGTTCACCTCTGATCCCGGAGTCTGATCTACTCTCGGGCACCCGGAGTGGGTGAGGAGCAGAGGTGGGGCCCTGGCAGGGCTTGAGACCCCATCCAGGTAAAGCCAGGATGACCTGGAACAGGTCATTCAAAACATTTGTAATTAGCCAGTAAGAACAGATTTAGGAGTGAAAGAGCCCGTAAGGCAACTCTGTTGGGAGCTGAGATAGGTTTAAACTGCAAGTGCCTGTTAAAAGCCATGTACAATGCAAGAATCTAAATACACAGCTGTCAGCCACCTCGTGGAGCTTTGAGCAGTGTCTCTCAGGCAGGATAATGCTTAGGTAGATATAATCTGCATTTATTCCTAACTTCGACAATTAAACCCTCTTTTTTTTCTTTCTGAGAGTCAGAAGAGCATCTGTCACCACAGCCCCTTTCTGGGCCCAGAGCGTTGCCATAAATACGTCGCACGCAGAAGATGATTTCCATGCCTCCAGCGCGGCTTCAGAGACACAGTCAAAACAGATCTCTGATAAGACAGAGGTGGCAACCATCCAGCCTGACTAATGTCCAGCTTCAGTTTGGAGCAAAAAGGAAATGGAAAAGCAGCCCGACAAGCTAGCAGAGGGCACTGGATAAAATCCTGCTCTCAGGTATTCTGCTGTAAATTCAACGTACCCGTCCAGTGGGGTTACTTGCAGAGCCCAGTGACACCTGTGAGACAGACATTTGGTTCCTGGCACGCAATTATGGGCAGGCACTTGCTTCCCTCGGCGCTCTCCAGATGCATTTTATTCAGCAAAAAATACAAGTTTCTGCACATAACAGGACAACCCTTTGTGTCCTGTCACAAATATAAACTCACATTTTATCCCACCCCTCCAGCATGAAATATTTCTCCCTTCTAGAATGTCTAGACCTCCGTCCTATATGCTAAATGCTATTTTAAAAAAAACACCAAACAACAAATTATTATCCATTCTTCTTTTTCACCGACATCAGTAGAAAATGTATAAAGTATTTTGTTAGAGCTACTGTTTCTTCCTATGCTTTTTCCTAACGTGAGTGTAGATGTTAACCTTAAACATTTCTGTTGGTTTCATTATACATTATTTGTTCCTTTTACCTCTTTCTCTCAGACTGGATGATGATGTAATGTTTGGGGGTTGAAAATAAA